ATTGGCATTCACATTCATTCATTTGCACACATATTCCCATAAACACACAAAGTCGCATTCATATATGCACATTGCAAACACACACACCCACACCCACATACTCATACATCCAATACAAAAATACACACAAACTCATATGAACACCCAAACACTCTACTCACACACTCATGCGCGTTGACTTTAGCACATCTCCTTCAGGTCATTTATCTTGTGAGCTTTAAGGTGAATCAGTGGTTCTGCTTGACAGCGTGTGTGTGTTTTAGCGAGTGTGTGTGTGTGTGTGTGTACTAGGCCCGGAGCTGAAGCCTTTATTCTGCAGCAGAGTTTCGCTCATTATTATACGCTTTTGGCAGAGCGCTGGACTTTCCTCACTGTAGCGGCCAGTCGATAAATCTCACTGTCTCTTGCAGAGCTGACAAACACAAACTCTGCCCAGACTTCACCATCCTTACTGACACACCCACACACACACTTCACACACACACACACTTCACACTTCACATTTTCTTGTCGGCTTAGTCCCTTTATTAATCCCGGGTCGCCACAGCGGAATGAACCGCCAACTTATCCAGCAGGTTTTTACACAGCGGATGCCCTTCCAGCCGCAACACATCTCTGGGAAATATGCCTATACTTAAAAATGTAATTAAAAAAAAAGTTATTTCCATGTGGTCAAAATATCTAAACTATTAAATAATTCATATTTACAGAACAGCTACTGTTTCGTGATGTATATAGTTGTCAGGATATGAGATGAACAGTATATTGTGATTTTTAGCATATCTCCCAGGCCTAATTTGAATCATTGTGATAATCTCAAGACGGATAGACAGACAGGCTGGACGAGGACAATCTGACAGAAGAATCTGCCTCCGTACTTGCCCTTTAAAAAGGACATTCTGCATTTAAACTCAAACGGGTGAGATATAGATCAGGAGCCGGTGCTTCTTCCCAGACTGCGAGGTTGCTTTCAGGGGAATAAAACAGTGATCCAGTCCTCAAAGAGCCGAGGAGGACCTGAGGGAGAGCATGCCACGCTGCATTAACATGAAGGCCGTCAGTCCCTAGGCGAACGACTCCTCTCTCTCTCTCTCTCCCTCTCTCTGCTGACTGCCACCTTCCTTCATTTCTTGATTGAATTAAGTAAATATAGACATCTTGAAGAATTTATTCCTCTGAAAATCTGCTTGGGGCTCAATGACGTCAATAGAGTCAGACCACATTCACCTATAAGCAGATCCGAGTGACTACAAAATGCATTACAGACAGCACAAGGATTTTTCACACTTCAGAGACCTTTGTTAGGATGTCCATTGCTACTAATAAAGCTATGTGTACATATACAGTTGAAGTCAAAATTATTAACCCTTTTTCTTTTTCCAATATTTCCCAAATGATGTTTAACAGAGCAAGAAATTTTTCACAGTATTTCCTATTATATTTTTTCTATCTGGAGAAAGTCTTATTTGTTTCAGTTTTTTATATATATATATATATATATATATATATATATATATATATATATATATATATATATATATATATATATATATATATATATGCAACACAGTGGGAGTGGGTAGCACGTTCGCCTTACAGCAAGAAGGTCGCTGGGTCGTTGGTTCGATCCTCGGCTCAGTTGGCATTTCTGTGTGGAGTTTGCATGTTCTCCCCCGCGTGGGTTTCCTCCGGGTTCTCCGGTTTCTCCCACAGTCCAAAGACATGCAGTACAGGTGAATTGGGTAGGCTAAATTGTCCGTAGTGTGTGTGAATGTGTGTGTGGATGTTTCCCAGAAATGGGTTGCGGCTGGAAGGGCATCCGCTGTGTAAAAACTTGCTGGATAAGTTGCCGGTTCATTCCGCTGTGACGACACTGGATTAATAAAGGGACTAAGTCGACAAGAAAATGAATGAATATTTATCAGTGGGTGACGCAGTGGCGCAGTAGGTAGTGCTGTCGCCTAACAGCAAGAAGGTTGCTGTTTCGAGCCTCGGCAGGGTCAGTTGGCATTTCTCTGTGGAGTTTGCAAGTTCTTCCTGCATTCGCGTGGGTTTCCTTCCGGTGCTCTGGTTTCCCCCACAGTCTAAACACATGCGGTACAGGTGAATCGGGTATGCTAAATTGTCTGTGGTGTAGGAGTGTGAATTATGAGATGTTTCCGAGAGATGGGTTGCAGCTGGAAGGGCATCCGCTGTGTAAAACATATGCTGGATAAGTTGGCGGTTCATTCCGCTGTGGCGACCCCAGATTAATAAAGGGACTAAGCCGACAAGAAAATGATTGAATGAATATATCATTTGCAATAGCCCCAATCGCAGGATATGCAATGTTGATTCTGCATTATAGTGTATAATTTGTATGGGTTATGAGGCCTGTGACTGAATTAGGATTTAAAAGCATTCAAGTCTAAGAAATTGTACCATTTGTTACTTTAATTTACTTTTTTTATTATTATTTGTAAAACGAAGACTATGCAGGATTATTGATTACTCAATTACTGTATACCTGAATACAGTTCGACTCTGATAACAACACAAGGCTGTTTATTTAATTCATACTTTTTCTTTATTGCGTTTATATGTGGAATATGTTTTCAAATATTTCCCAAACAATGTTTGAGCAAGGAAATTTTCACAGTATGTCTGATAGTAACTTTTCTCCTGGAGATAGTCTTATTTGTTTTATTTCGGCTACAATAAAAGCAGTTTTGTTTAGTTTTTTTATCCATTTTAAGGTCAAAATTATTAGCCCCTTTAAGCTAACTTTTTTTCAAGTCTACAGAACAAACCATCATTATATAATAACTTGCCTAATTCCCCTAACCTGCCTAGTTAACCTAATTAACCCAGTTAAGCCTCTAAATGTTACTTTAAGCTGTATAGAAGTGTCTTAAAAAATATCTAGTCAAATATTATTTACTGTCATCATGGCAAAGATAAAATAAATCATCTTAGAAATTAATTATTAAACATATTATGTTTAGAAATGTGCTAAACAAATCTTCTATTGGGGAAAAAAATAAACAGGCAGGCTAATAATTCAAGGGGGCTAATTATTCAGACTTACTATATATATATATAGTTTATTATATTGTATGCAGATGCGCTCCATCAGAACCATACTAATCAATATAGAATGATAAATTCTTCCCAAATAGAGATAAATCATTAGGTAAAATTGTGCTCATATCGCAATATATATCACAGAAAAACTAAACAATGCAATGTCGGATTTTTCCAATATCATGCAGCCCTACTTTCAACTACAAAAATATTGATTCTTTAAAAAAGTTTTCACTAAAATGTGCTTTGATGAACCAGAAACTGTTTTCCCACAGCACCTTTTAAAAGCTTTATATTTTAAGAGTAAAATATTGTTATTAAGCAGAAAATATTACATTTAATAATCAACTTAAATTAACCACAAGCCAATATGGATTGAATCAATTATGAATATTTTCTGATAAACAGTCATTTTTGCAGTGTGTATTCCCTGTGTAAATGTATTCCACCTATTATGTGCAGCCAATATAACAATCAAAAGAGCAAATATATTTAGTGTGCTTTCAATGCAGCATTTACAGTCTCAACACCACATACAGTAAAGCTGCAAATTAACTCCAGGAGCCAAAACATCCAGCAGCAATGCAGACACCAACACATCTAACCTACAGCTCGCATTTAACCTTAATATGACTCAAATGTCCTGCCTATTGTTTTCCAGAAACCCAAATCTGTAAATCTTCACATCATATCGAGTCTTCTAAACTACATAATAAGCCACAAATTTCGCCAAGTGTTTCATGTTTTCACAATTCTGACATGCTGTAAGCTATATGCTGTGAGTGAAGCTGTAGGTGCAGCATGATGTATTTCCTTAAAGGGATAGTTCACCCAAAAATCATTTTCTCACTCTTTACTTGCTTCAAAAGCTTTATTGGTGTCTTTCTTCTGCTGAACACAAAAGAAGATATTTAGAAAAATGTTGAAACACTATCACCGCTGACATACCTTATACAGCTACAGTGCTCAGCATATATGATAAAAAAAACTCACAGTTAAATTAATATTTTCTATAGGAAGCTATACAATATTATATGTGTAGATCAGTCAGTACTGAAGCCAAATCTGGAGCTTATCTTACAGAATAACTTGCGATACCGGTCTAAATATTAGTTCCTTAAATGTATATGTTAGGGGAAAATATTGAATAGCATTCTCACAATCAAGAGAAACAAAACAAATATACAATTTTGTTGAAATGTTGTAGTTTGTAATTTATTTATTAATATTAAGCATGAATTTAAAAATTTTTGTTCTATTTCCAAGGATGTTCTGTGACTAAATTATGATTTTAATAAATATATCTGTTTACTAAATCTGTTTTATTCAAATGCACCAATATATTACCCATAATCACTGAGAAATGACTAAAAATATTCATTTTCAAAATGGGGAGTACTCATATATGCTGAGCACTGTATATGTTTGACTATGGAGGTCAATAGTTTTCAGCTATCACCAAAATATCTTGTTTTGTGTTCAATAACTTGTGTAAAACGTGAGTAAATAGTAAGTAAATAGTCATTTGTGTGTGTGTGAACTATCCCTTTAATGCCTTTACCGCATTGTTGACCAATATCATCAGCGTTTACACCCATGCAGAGCTGAATGTTTATTCTGATCACCTTTTCCCCTCATTATTGTCCTCCATTCAGGCCTGTCACTTATCCACCTCACAAGCAACTTTCCCCAGTGTGCAGCGGTGTGTTGGAAAATGCGGAGAGCTATACAAACACCAGGCCTTCCTAAAACATATACAGCCGCTGCTGACATTTAAAGCAATCACCCATCACCAGCACAGACACACGGCCCAGAAATGACTGCAGTGTGTGGCCAGAACAGGCCGGTCTCTGCATTCCCCGTACAGGAATCATTACAACAATGTGTGTGAATCACTGTAGTCTATTGCACGCATGCGGTTTTCGCTGCCTGCTCACCTGCACACCCGCTCCGAAAGACGAACGATTGTGCCTCCGATCAATGCGGGGAAAGATGCTCCTCATGCGGTGTATGGATAATCCCGGACGGATTCGGCGCGGTCTCGTTTCTCGGGCATCCTCCGGTCAGGTACGCGGCGCGCGGATGCGAGGAGGAGGAGAAGAAGAAGAGGAGGAGGAGGAGAAAAGGAGGATGATTCGTGGCGCAAAGCGACGCTCGGTACACTCGATGACACCGGTCGGTACGCGGTTTGTCCACGGGTGCGTTCACGCGCGTCACATTAAAAACGTGTCCGAGGCCAGATCTGCTTGCGCGGTCAGATCGCCGGTGTGCTCGGATGTCCCGTGCACCGGATACTCTCTCTCTCTCTCTCTCTCTCTCTGTGTGTGTGTGTGTGTGTGTGTGTGTGTGTGTGTGTGTCTCAGCGCTCTCAATAACGCGGAGGATACAACAGCAGTGATGGGGAAGCCACACACACACACACGCACACTCACGCACACACACGCACTCTATAACACATGCTTGTGCGGACCAACATCAATATTTTCAATTGTCATTAAACCAACCTGAATTCAATTACACTAAAAATATCTGTAAATTAGCAGTTTTTCGTGTTTTGTGATGTTTTTGTTTTTATTTTTTATTTTCCCCTTTTATTTCTGCTTTTGAATTGCATCAGGACACCTTGATCTTTTTATCCAACTTCTTTTACCCTAAAAGGTTCGGAAGAAATGACTTTTATTGTCATGTTTAATAGTTTAAAGTGATATATTTGTCTGGGTTGGTGTTGTATATTAGAGTACAAAACCTTGTAATAAACTGCAGTACATTTTCTGTTGATTTACAGACTGATATATTATTATATTATATTATTATTATATATTATTATAATATAAATTATAAAAGTCTATATAGTATTTCTTATAGGCAACATTATATTATTTCAAACTACTAAAATATCAATAAAAGACCCTTTATTTAAAAATTAATAATTGGCGGATATTTTAATAATGTAGATACAAACCCATTAAAAAATTGTTTATTCTACACACTTCAATAATTAGCAGGTAGATTTTGACCTGAAAAATCACTCACATGAAAAATATAATAATAATTCGAACCATACTATGGTAAAGTACTTGAATTAATCTGCTGTGGTAATTGCTATGAAAACACAACTATAGTAATATAAGCAAGTTAATAAATAGTGTAGTTTTATACAACTATAGAGTATATTTTCTGACAATATACCACAGTTTACTTTAGTAAAACTCTAAAATACACTACAGTATTAATTACAGTTTATTAGTTTACTCTATGGTTAATGCTACAGTATGCTGTCACATTCATTATCAAAGTATTATAGTTTATATAATATATACAGTATTTTAAACTTTACTATAGTACAGTTCAAAAGCTCTATAGTATTTACTATAAATCCCTAGTATTTTTTGTTGTTTGGGTTGTGTAAAATAAAACATTACAGAAGATTCTAATGATTTTCACTACATATACCATTAGCCTAAAAACACTACAAAATGTTAACTATTAAAACCAGTAGTTTTTAAAAATGTTTTGGGACATATTTTATTAGAAATTATTGTTTTTCTCAACATCCCACATGAAAAAAATAGCATAGTAATTCATTGGGGAATTACCAGCCTACGTCATACATGACGTCACACAGGTTAAAACGTGCATACCTGTTGCAAAAAAAGACCAGTTGCAATAGCAAACATGTCGTTTTGTGCGGTAGGATGCCAAAATCGAAAGTCCAAAAATTGAAAACTTAAATTTTACCGTACACCACACTGCTTTTAATGCCAACCGTAGACGTCTTTGGCTAACAGCCATCAGAAGAGCTGAATGGAGTGAAGACCTAATTAAAAATGCTCTGCAGTTCTCAGTTCTTATTAGGTAAGTTCTTGCTGTGCTGAATTATACACATTGCTCGTTTTTGATTGCAGCAATGATTTCAGCAAAAACAGTTACATTTGGTTAATTAAACTGCGCACACTGAATGCTCTGAACGAAATGTAAAAATGTAAGTTCACATACGCCGCCATACCACCAGTTCGCTGTCAGAATGGAGTAGTTTTGCTTGTTGATGATTACCCAGGCCTTGTACAGCTCCGTCTTCTTTCCTTGTCTTTGGTTAGGCAGAACCTCGGTTTTTAGCACTACATAGTTTTGAATCTGGTAATCATGGAACATTATTTCTTGCACATCACCACACAGAACAATAATATAGGCATCCAAAAACTTGTAGGCTTTTAACTTCTCTCTTGTCAAAACACCTGTAGTTTCAATGAGTTTCAATGAGATAGTTGTATATTTGGGGCTGGATGCTTGGCCATTTCATATCCAGTATCCATTGGGAGGGTGCTAACGCAATTGGACCTGTCAGACGAACGCCGCTCACTTTAATGTTAATTTTGCCAAATCACTGTGCTTATATCACTGAGTGACAAGCTGTTATAACACACTGAAAGCATTATGTCAATAATATATATAATATGTAATCAATATAACTTAATTCTAATGCAACAACAAACTCTGTACCACAGCGGATGTCATTCCTTTGCTGTAAATGCTAGTGCTCCCGGGTTTTTTTCTGCAACCTCGCTGCGTGCGTATCCTGAATGTTTTTAAACTGGTAATTTGTCTGTAGTAAACAACAGAGTTTTTGAGCCATATACTGTTGTAAAGTGTATTATACTATATCTATAGTCATTCATTCATTCATTTTCCTTCGGATTAGTCCCTTTATTCATCAGGGGTCTCCACAGTGGAATGAAATGCCAACTAATCCAGCATGTTTTACACAGCGGATGCCCTTCCAGCCACAACCCAGTCCTGGGAAACATCCATACACACTCATTCACACACACACACACACACACACACACACACTCACACTATGGCCAATTTAGCTTATTCAATGCATATATGTATATAGGATATGATTGAATGATAGTTATAACAATAAAATAATTTTAAAAATGTAAAGGAGATCAGTCCATACTACAACTATAATGATAACATGATAATTCGTTTCTCCAGCTGATGAACATTAGTACAAACACTGCCAAACAATCAGAATCAATCCTGCTTTAATACGTTTGGGGGGGTGGGGGGAGTGGGGGGGGGGAATGGAGCAGCAATTATTATTGTATTATAGTTATTTGTTATTGCTCCTGGGTGTCACTCACTGCAGTAAGACCTGGATTTAGCCTTAACTACACCAGTTTTAAAACTTACTGTTACATGCAATGCACTTTATTTTGTTTTTCACCTACGTTTTTATTGGAGTAAACAGTATATTTAAAGCACAAAGTTTCCAGTACATTGGCACATTATGCATTTGTACATTTTATCCATTCTAGCAAGCAATTTATGAGTCGTTTTACCTTTAAAATAATTTTAGGAGGAGCTCTGCAGTTATAGGCGTGTTACGTTCTGCACAGACAAGCTCCGCCCTTGATCTGTTCGTTCTGGGCTATGATTGGTCAGAGCTGGTTATCCGCAATCAGTGATTGGACAGTTGAGAAGTCAATCATGTAGTTGTAGAAACAACAGCAAACAGAGAAAATAAATTAGCATGCGACAAAAACGCCCACTTTAGTTTTCCTGAAAGAGGCGTTTCTTAAATGACAGCACTGACATAACGAACAAGATCAGCTGGATACATAACTTGAGCCTAAGCGTTGGGTCTTGTTGCAAATCTCCGTTTCAACGTAGAACTGACCGAGAGCTTTTCTAGTGGTCGATATGTCCGATGCTGTAAGAAATGTGGCGATATTTGGCTGCACGGGAATGACGGGGTTAGCGACCTTACCTATCGCAGTGGCCTCAGGTAAACTCTTACACAATGTCTTAGGGGAATGAGATGTTTTTTAACGTGTTCTTACTGCAACTTCATGCACTGTTTCGCTTTGATAGACGAGAATTGAATGTTTTAAATTCATTGAAATCGGTTTTGTATTTGCACATTCGTTCATTGACAACACACATATTCCTATATTGTTTATCAAACTAACGTTACTTAAATATTCGGAATGAAATCGCATGTAAATATGACTTACAGATAACATTGGCACTATTTAGTTGACTGTAAACAATGTTGTAACGTTACTTTGAAAGTCATTGGCTTCAATATGATTTTTGACTGCTTGTAGCTTAGTCTAATAATACTAAAGTAACTTACAGTATATATATATATATATATATATATATATATATATATATATATATATATATAATAGACGATGCTAATATGATTTGCCTGTTTAGAATGAGCAAATACTTTTCTGAAATAAGGTTATATTATTAAGGAGAAAAACCGAATGTGAATCAAGTTTAATGTGTAAATTACCTCAATTAAAAAAAATAATTAATCCAGATTTAACATAGTCTTAATCAATTTCTCAATAATACTAAAGAATCTTACAGTATAAACTGGCGTGTTTTGAACTATAGTGAAGTGTTTCATGGTTCTCAAACTGTGGTACGTGTACCACTAGTGGTACGGAGGAATCAAAAATGTCATACTGTATGTACATACATATATTTAAAAATGATTATGTATGATGAAATGTAGCCTATATTTCCAGGTGTTGATACTTTACATTTAAGTACAGGAGTTTTTTTTAAACTTTAAGAACAGTAACCTGTCATTATTAACTTTTAAAAGCACATTTTAATTTTAATGTTGACATTTTTTTTTTACGTATAAGCACAGTACAGGGTTAATGTTCAAACAATTTGTAATGTTTAAAGTGGCTGACAATAATACTCTCGATAATAAATATTAATTGCCTCATTTTTAAACTGTACAGAACTGTAGCTGTTACACTGGGCCCACTATGCTACAGTATTTCAATACTGCTTATTATGGTGGAACTTGGAGAAAATCTTTAAGGAACCACTGCTGTATAGTATCTACAAGCCTTTGGTAATGAATGTTGCATACAGTACTACTGTAGTATATTGAGATAAAGTTTTATATTCACACATTCAGACTTTTTCTTAATAACATAATTTCACAAAAATATTCTTGTCTGAGGTAAACTCTTACACAATATCTTTATGGACTGAGTTTTTTTTTTTTTTCTTAAACTGTTAATGCAATGTGACGAGAATCAAATCTTTCAAGTTTATTGAAGTTTTATTTGCACATTTGTTTATTGACAACATGTGACACGGTCCCTATATTGTTTATCAATCTACTTTTAATATTCAGTCTGAAATCGCATATAAATATGACTTTAAAAGAACGTTTGCACTATTTATTTGACTTTTAATGATCTTGTACTTTGATAGTTATAAGGTGCTAACATGATTTTCCTATTTAGAGTTTGCAAAGAATACTTTTAATTAGGCTATATTATTAAGGAGAAAGACCGAATGTGAATCAACCTTACCTCAATTTCAAAATCAATCAGTCTTAATCAGCAGCTTAATAATACTAAAGTAACTTGCAGTATATACTAGCGTGTTTTGAACCACGCTATAGTGAAGTGCAGGGGCAGGTTTAGTTTGCCCTTAGCAAGGCCCAACAGTCCTAAAATGCACCCTTTCTACTTTTATTTCATATACATTTATTTAGCTGTTGTTTTATATCACTCAAACTTATTTTCTAAGTTTAATCTTAATGCAGTCTCTACATTTTAAATGATTAATTTTCTTAAAATGAAATTATAACGTTGAATTTAATCAATTTGACTTCTGGACTGCTTTATGAGTGGGGTTGGTGGACAAATTTGTGCATTTTATTTTATTATTACATAACATTACATTATTATAATAATATTATGTTTAATTTTATATTAAATAATGTTTAATTACGTTATGTAATTTCATTTGTTTGACTCTCACCGTACAAAATATGATAAAAAAACAATGTTATATAGGTATAATTTATACCATTAGATATTTATTAGTGGTCATAAGCGGCCACTTGCCTTGCTTATTGGTTAAATTCACCCTTGGTGAAATGTATCATACTGTATTTATAACTCTTTGTTGATGAATGTAGCATACTACTGTAGTGTTAAACTATATTAAACTAATAAACTATAATAAATATCATTGTATACCTTAGTTTTACTACAGTAAACCTTGGTGTATAATGTTTTAAACTCTTTAAATGTGTTAATGTGCTTACCACAGCATCTATAGAATTAACTCAACAGCTTAATTCAAGTAGTATCATGGTTCAAAACATATATAATTCCTATAAATTACTGTAGTATTTGTTTCATATGGGAGCAGATGCTAAATTTGCACTTTCTTGTTTGTGATTTATGTTTAAAATATGTTGTTCCTGTCTTGTGCGGATCACAAGACGTTTGAGAAACATCTTAGTCATGTTGTGACGATAATCTGCTGAGTCATTAGAGCGTGCTTTCTGAAGATAAGCATACACATTCTTGCCTGTTCTTAATCTATAACCTGCAGAGCTCTTGTTTGGTTTGCAGTTGAATGATTGTCTATTTGTTTTTGTTAAGTAACTGTAACTGTATTGCCTATATGAAAATGAAATGTGAACGTATAAGAAGCTAACACGAATATGCTACCTGTTTTTAACTTTGTGTTTTTCTGCCCCAGGTTACAATGTGACGGTGCTGGTGAGAGACCCTGCAAGGCTTCCTCCAGATCATAAGGCCTCCAGAGTGGTTGTGGGAGACGTTCTGAACAAAAACGATGTAAAGAAGACCCTGGAGGGTCAGGATGCAGTCATCATCATTCTAGGGACAAGGAATGATCTCAGTGAGTTCACTTTTAGAGGCTATATGATGCTACTTTAATAGGTCAGTATCGCCAACCTGATTTCACCAAGTAGAACATGATGATGATGATGATAATGAAGATTATTATTAATAATAATAATAATAATACTAAATAGGACATGTTCCTGGATTAGCATCTATGTTGATCCTGTAACAGCATTCCAATCAGCCAATCAGAATAAAGGGATACGTTTAGAGTTAATGTTAAGTTTAGGCTTATGGTTAGGTTTATGCACTTCTTCATGAGTGTTATCCAACTATTATTCCCCTCTTATGTTGGTAATAATTCACAGTCATGTTTGGGTTTAGGGGTAGGTCATGGGTATGGATTACATTTTCCAACAAAAATGATGTTCCAGGATCAACATAGATGTTAATGCAGGATCTCATTCGCATCATAATTGTGCTTTCAGTAATTAGTAAGGATGCACCCATGTATCAGCCAATATATTTTTTGAGCTATTGGCATAGTAATATGTGTAATTTGAAAAAAATCCAATCTCTTTCTCAGAACAAAATCATTAAATACTTGCAAAAAACTAAATATAATCTGTACAAAATGTCAGATGTGTGTGTGGTAAGGCAACGGTGTGCCTCATGCTCAAGTGCTGGCACAAAACCTTTGGTTAGCTTGGCTTAAAATGTCATGAACAACAAAAGACACCAACTGCTTTTTAGTTAGTATTTTTCTGGAGCAGCACAATTTATAATTAACATAAAGCAACAGCACTGACTTCATTTGTTAAGTTAATTTACTGTAGATAGATAGATAGATAGATAGATAGATAGATAGATAGATAGATAGATAGATAGATAGATAGACAGACAGACAGACAGACAGACAGACAGACAGACAGATAGACATACTGGAGAACAGATAGATATTGGTCTCAGTATTGCAATTGGCCAATAGTTTTTTGTTAAAACTGGTATCAGTATTGGTCAAAAAAATCCTATCATTGATTTATTTTCCTTCAGCTTAGTCCCTTATTTATCAGGGTGACCACAGCGGAATGAACCGCCAAAAATCCTATCTCTACAATCCTATTCATTCATTCATTTCCCTTTGGCTTAGTTTCTATTTTCGAGGTCGGCACAGCTGAATGAACCACCAACCATATGTATTTTGCAGCAGATGCCCTTCTAGCTGCGACCCAGTATTGGGAAACACCCATACACTCTCACATTCACACACACACACACACACACACTATGGACACTTTAGTTTATTCCATTCACCTGTGCTGCATGTATTAAGACTGTGGGGGAAACCGGAGCACCCAAAGGAAATGCACGCCAACACAGGGAGAACATGCCAACTCCACACAGAAATGCCTATTGACCCAGCCGGGACTCAAACCAGCATATTCTTTTAAACGGTACATTATTGCCACATCTCTCATTTCAGTCTACATGAAAGGCTCCTCCTTCTCAAAAGATCTGAGTCCTCTGATTGGCCAGTAGACCAGGCGGATTATGATTGGACAAACTTGTGTTATTAATGCAGTGGTGTGAGTTTAAAGGGACAATTCATTCATTTTACTTCAGCTTAGTCTCTTTATTCTTCAGGGGTCGCCACAACGGAATGAACCGTCAACTTATCCTGCATATGTTTTACAAAGCGATGCCCTTCCAGCTGCAACCCAATACTAGGAAACAACCATACACACTCATTCACACAATTAGGTTCATACAATTCATCTATAGCACATGTGTTTGGACTGTGGGGGAATTCGGAGCACCCGGAGGAAACCCACACCAACACGAGGAGAACATGCAAACTCCACACAGAAATGCCAACTGACCAAGCCGGGACTCGAACCAGCGACCTTCTTGCTGTGAGGCGACTGTGCTAACCACCGAGCCACCATGTCGAAGGGATAATTTATCCAGACATTTGAATTTCTCACCATTCACTCTGCACTCAAGTGCTTCTAAACGTTTATGAATTTCTTTCTTCTGTTGAACACAAAACAAGATGAAAATAAAAATAAAAGTAATTATGAAAAATTTTGGAGATAGACATCCATATAGTAACAAAAATTACTATGGAATTTAATATCTTCTAAAGGATATCTTCCTTTGTGTTCAACAGGAGAAAGACACTAAAACACAAGTGCAGGATAAAGGAATCGGGATGCAGCAGAATACAGCTGTTTATAAAGCACACGGTGCCATCTGCTGTTCAAAGCCAAGCTCAGAATCAGTTTAACCCTTTGATGCACTACATAGATCTTAAAGTGACCTTCTAAGCTTATTTTTTCTGTATCTATTTTATAGGTTGTGCATCAAAGGGTTAAGAGAGAATAGTGATGGGTTTTGATCCTCTCAGAATCAGTGCATTGATTTATTGTATCATTTTGCACCACAGCTCTACTTGAGTTAGTGATCCTAATAATGTCATCCAAAGGTTGTTTCTTTATCAGTGCACATAATTGATTTGTCTTCTGATTTTTTTTTTTTGCTTGCTGGTCCCACAACGATGATGTCTGAGGGAACGCGGAACATCGTGGAGGTCATGAAAGCTCGTGGAATCCGCAAAGTTGTTGGATGCATGTCAGGTGTGTGTATTTACAGTCATGCACTATTTCCGTTTCAATAGAAAGCATGTGCATATAGATTCAGCTGAAGTCAGAATTATTAGTTCCCCTGTTATTTTTTCCCCCGATTTCAGTTTAACAGAAATACATTTTTTTAACACATTTTTAAACCTAATAATTTTAATAACCTGTTTCTAACAACTGATTTATTTTATCTTTGCCATGAGAGTACATAATATTTTACCTGATATTTTTCAAAATGATGGTTTGTTCTGTAGACAATCAAAAAAAAATTGCTTAAATAATATTGGCCTTAAAATGATATAAAAAAATTAAAAACTGCTTTTATTCTAGCCGAAATACAACCTTCTCCAGAAGAAAAAATATTATAGGAATTACTGTGAAAAATTCCTTGCTCTGTTAAACATCATTTGGGAAATATCTGGAAATGAAAACAAAACTCATCATCAAACGTCACCTGTATGTAAAGAACTTGCTACGTCTGTCTCTTACATTTCACAGCATTCCTCTTGTGGGATCGATCCAAAGTTCCTCCTCGCTTGGTGCCGGTCACTGAAGATCATGACCGAATGTACACCGTCCTGAAGGAGTCCGGATTGGACTATATAGCAGCCATGCCTCCACATATTGCTGGTAATGACCATGAAATAGCTACATTCCTACAATATGGAGTTTATTTGTTAATGTTTACTCTAATTTGGTTATTTTTGGTAACACTTTATTTTAAGTATCTATTCTCACTATTAACTAGTGGCTTATTACTAGGGCCAGATGAAATCTGCAGACGTTTATTTGCTATTTCTGCTGAGAATTTTGCTAAAAGTCTGCGGATTTCTGCGTAATTATTTTGGGAGTATCATAACTAAAACCTTAATATATGAAATGAAAAATAATATATTTTTTTAACTTTTATTTACTGTTTAAAATGCAAATCCAATTAGATTCAGTTTATCTGGTAAATAAATAAATTTTGTCATATAATATATCTAGTAAAAGAGAGAAAATAATACTGTACAAACTGCATTGTACATAAATCAGATGAACATTTTCACATTAGTCAATAATATTACTGAAATTAATTAAAAAACTGAATAAATATAGATTTACACACATTTACTCAAGTAAATAAACAGAATTAATGATGAGGTAAAAATCTGCTGAAATCTGCGGAAAATGTGCAGAATTCTGCACGCGCAGATTCCGGGTGGGCATACTCATTACCTGCCCATTATTAAAAGCTGTATATTAGTACAGTATATATTCTGCATAATCTTATTCTTAATCCTGAATTACCTTGCTATTCACTAAGATATATTAACTATAAATAAACAGCTAATTAAGAGTTTATTGAGCTAAAGAATCACAGTGGGGGAAATAAGTATTGAACACGTCACCGTTTTTCTCAGAATACATATTTCTAAAGGTGCTGTTGAGTTGAAATTTTTACAAGATGTTGGTAGAACCACAGAAATTCATATATGCAAAGAAAACAAATCTGATTAGTTTACAAACTAAGTTATGCGCAATAAAATGAAATGATGATGATAGGGAGGTGTAGAAAGGCAGAGAAAGCCCAGACAGCAGCTGAAATCTCTCAGTAGTTCTTCATCCACCCTCTGCCCTTCCTCAGTGTAAATGAATACGAGTTGCTTTAGTACAACATCTACATTAGCAGGAGGATGAAGATCCACCAGGGTGGACATTTCAGCAAGACAATGATCCAAAACACAGCCAAGGAAACTCTCAGATGCTTTCAGAGAAAGAAAATCAAGCTGTAGAATGGCCCAGCCAATCACCTGACTCGAATCCAATAGAGAATACAAAATGAAGAGCAGATTTGACAGACGAGACCCACAGAACCATCAAGATTTTACACTCTGTTGAAGAAACTCTGTGAGAAACTCACACCTGAGCCATGCATGTGACTTCATTCTCCATATGAGAGGCATCTTTAAGCTTTTATTTAATGTATTAAATACATTTCAGTAGTTCAGCACTTTCTCCTTGTGTCATTTCAGTGTTATTACACACAACTCATTTCTCGGATTTTTTTCTTTTGTTTTATCTTTATGTTTGTATTGTTTGAGTTTTTACCAAAATCTGCTTAATTTCATGTCAACAGCTCCTTTAGAAATATTATTCCCAGTAAAAGCATGACGTGTTCAATACTAATTTTCCCCGCTGTATACCTTAAATAAAGTGAAAAATGGATATTTCTTGCAACCACAAGCTTGAATTATGTTCATCAATAAGCAAGAAAAGGTCATTGCTGTTGTCTTTTCAGGTGACAAGCCTTTGACGGAGAAATACATTGTGACTGAGAACATGCTAAAAGGAAGGGTGATCTCCAAATATGATCTGGGCCATTTCTTTGTCAAGTGCCTGTCCACTTCTGAATGGGATGGAAAGACAGTTGGCATTTGTGGAGAGTATAGTTAAGTTACTCAGGGTTTTCTTGAAATATGTTGTCAATAAAGGTGCCCTTTTTTCTGCACTGCTCAAAATGACTGCATACAATACAAATGCGAAAATAACAGGTTGGTACTGATGGTATAGCAGAGATACAATATTCCCAGTCAGTCATTATTATTTCTAAAAGTAAACAATGAAATGAAACTATTGAATAACAGAGAAACTGATTGCACCTTTTAGTTTATAATTTCATAAATGCATATGCTAATTAGTGATAAATGTGCCTATTCGATCAATGTTAAGAACTTAATTTAAATGTTACTTTGTACTTGCAGAAAAGATGTTAGATCAAATGGATTTTGCCTTAAAAACAATCAATGAAAATCTGACATTTGCCTGATTTTAACCCTCTGTTTTTTAAATAAATATGTTAGTTTACAGAATTCCTCTTTTTTGTTGTTGTTTATGTTTGTTAGAATGTTGTATACAATGTATTTAAAGAGACAGTTCACCCAAAAATGAAACTGTTCACTGTTTTTTCATGTTGGTAAATGCAATAATTAACATTAACTAATGAACCTATTTGTAAAGTGTGACCCACTCGTTCAAAATCTATTTGAGTTTCTTCTCATTTCATTTCCTTTTCATCTGCTTTTCCGGGGCCGGGTTGCTGGGGCAGCAGTCTTAGGAGAGAACTCTAGACACTTCTTCCGCAGGGATTCCAAGTGTTCCAAGGCCAGCCGAGAGACAGAAGCTGCGTCCCAAATCGTACACTTATGCACTATTCTACGCCATTTTGTAGTATAAATAGTGTAAGTACTGCGTTCACACTGAAAACTCTAAAAATAATAAGTGAGGTGTGTAATGATGGACACTTCACATACTCAACGACCGCAGGTTTGCTCGCATAGCGGAAGGGGCGGAGTTATCGGACGGTTATGTTGGATAACTATTTATTTTGGATTGTGAAAGCAAAATTCTTCTACGAGAGTGATTATAGCGCCTCCCGATGGTGAATGCGGTTACACTCACGGCAGGTATTATTTGATAGTTTGAGCATTTAATTTACCGATTTGGCAACTGTCAAACATCATTAGGGAAACGGTTTGAATTTCCGCTTAGTAAAATAACATTAGTGTGCCATTTGGGACGACACTACATACATATACTTTCCTGTTGAGTGTTTAAGTGCATAAGTGCATAGTGTATAGTGTGCCATTTGAGATGCAGCTATAGTCCCTCTAGCGCAGGGGTGCCCAAACTTGATCCAGGAGGGCCGGTGTCCTGCAGATTTTATCTCCTACTTGCCTCAACACACCTGCAAGGATGTTTCTAGAAAACCTAGTAAGAGCTTGATTAGCTAGCCCAGGTGTGTTTGCTTGGGGTTGGAATTTAACTTAGCAGGAAACCGGCCCTCCAGAACTGAGTCTGGACACCCCTGCTCTAGCGTGTCCTGGGTCTTCCCTGAGGCTTCTTCCTGGTGGGACAGGCCTGGAACACATCCCTAGGCAGGCATTCAAAACAGATGCCCGAGCCCCTCCAGCTCTCTTCTCTCAATGTGGTGGAGCAGCGGCTTTACTCCGAGCTCCTCCTAGGTGACAGAGCTCCTCACCCCATCTATAAAAGTGCGCTCTGCCACCTTGCGAAGGAAACTCATTTCAGCTGCTTGTATCCGAGATCTTGTCCTGTGAGAGTAGGAACGCTGTATTGTCATAACACTGTATGGCAATGTTTCAGATGACTCCTCTAGAGCCTACAGCTAATCAATCTGTCAGATTCTGGAGTGCATTACAGCTCTAAAGAACATTATAAAGGATCTTAAACAAAACACATACAGTTATAGGTATGGTATATGATTATATAATTTCACTCACCTGGGAGATGGGCTCCATGTGAATGGTTTGTGAGCACAATAAAGTGCACAGCATGCCATATCTGATAATTGTAAGAAATAATTCTAAAAAGCCCATATCAAACACACCTGCCTGTAATTATCATGTCGTGTTCAGGTCCTAATTAATTGGTTCAGGTGTGTTTGATATGGGTAGCAGCTAAAATCTGCAGGAAGGTGGCATAAAACAGCACAAAAATACGATATATTTGATGAGTTCAGCAGCTAATCAGCTGGAATCAGCTAAGGTGAAGTGGCAGCGACCAGCGAGACCCAGCTGTCACTCAAGTTTCCTTAATTATGCAGACTTAATATAACTTAATATAAATGAAACGGATGAGTTTTAAAAATTCACTCCCTCACACAGTTGTCATGAAGGGTAATATAAGCTATATGAACCAAAATCGTTCTTTGTATCAGGCTATAAACATCTTTTTTTCTGCTGTAAAGTTGGCCATTTTAACACTGGGCTGAATAGAAATTTGCTCTATTATGGAGCCAGGACTAGCGGAATTTCGATGACTTGCAGCTTATACTTCCGTATTTGCTTCACGACGGAGAGCGGGAGGTTGTTGCTGGATGATGATGTCATTTTTGGATGAGCTGTCCCTTTAAAGCGTTCGAAAGCAGCACAACTACAATACCCAGCATTCCTGTTCGCGCGTGACGTCAGAACCGATTGAATCGCTGGCGGGACGAAAATTTTCTGCAAACGATTCCAGTCGACCGACACTTCAGCAGCGTTTTATGATTATGACAAAATAAGTTTATACGAGTTGCACCTTTTGTGGAGTTAGTGCCCGTGATTTGCAGGTGAGTAAGCAATGTCTTCGTTACAGGAAGATTGGATCATTTTGTCAAGATGCTAAGCTACAGTGCTGCCTTCTGCTTAAGCATAACGTTACCTTCTAAAAACTTGATTTTTTTGTCAATTTGTTGTGTGACTTTTGCAGCTGATCGCTCGTCTGGAAGACAGATATGCTGAAAATGCCTAAACTTAATTGTGATCACTAACATAAATGTGATACTCTGTTTTAAAATGATTATCGAGTTACATACAAGCCAAATATAACTTCACAAACGTTATTAATCGTAAACTAAATGATGTCCTACACATTTAGAGTTCGCAAAACAATGTCAAATTCTGTCTTTTCTATCAAAAGTTACTGTCTTACAGTAGGTAATTTAAATATCAAATATTATGTAACATAACCTCTTCACCTTCTGACTAAAAGATGACAAAACCTCGCCTCAACAATGCTCATATATACTTTATTTTGTAATTATATATGAATGTAACGCTAAACATTGTACACTTTTAAAACTGGATGAGTATTTTGTGTCTGTAAACCTATGTCCATATCTTTAGTATTTTTTGTGTATTTGTTGCGTTTATATACATATATTACAGATGTTATGTTTTATGATAGTTATGTTTGATGTGATTTCATGAATTAGATGTACGGTTAAATCAAAACCTAAATGATAATGACTGAAATAGTTCACGGTTGTGCAATCAATAAGGAAATGTCTTCATGACCATCTTCATTATGGAAAATGTACAAATTTCTATCGTAATTATAAATTAACAGAAGTAAAATAGTAAATGGACCCTTTTTTGTCTTTTGTTATTTAACTGAATTGTCAATGTAAATTAGAATAGTTTATTAATTAGATTAATTAAAGTTGGTTTTATATTTGCATATTCAGACTTTCTCCTTAATAATCTTATTTCAGAAAAGTATTCTTTGATAATTCACTAGCAGCCAATGACTATCAAAGCACAACATTGCTCAGAGTCAATTAAAGTGTCATGAAACCATAAAACACATTATTTGAGATGATGACAGATCTAATATATATATATATATGTATGTGTGTGTGTGTGTATATGTATATATTTGAAGAAGTCAGATGCAAAAACTTCTTAAGTGCCGTCTGAAATTTCCATCGAAAATTAAAAAAAAAAATTCAGCCTCCTTTGTTTATTTTATTTATTTTTATTTATTTATTTATTTATTTATCATCGTTATACAATGACTTGCATAATTACCCTAACTTGCCTAGTTAACCCAGTTAAGCCGTTAAATGTCACTTTAAGCTGAATACTAGTATCTTGAAAAATATCTAGCCAAATATTATTTACTTTCATCATGGCAAAGATAAAAGAAATTATTAGAAAGTTATTAGAAATTAGTTATTATTGTTTAGAAAAACAATTTCTGTTGAACAGAAATTGGGTTACACACACACACACACACACACACACACACATATATATATATATATATATATATATATATATATATATATATATATATATATATATATATATATATATTTTTTTTTTTTTTTTTTTTGCATTGTTTAAAGCAAATTTGTGGTAATGTTTTTTTTTTGGAAGTCATGTGATTTTAGACTAAATATTCAAATTAGCACATAGTAAACAAATTTTCATGTGAATATAAAACCTTCTTTACCTTAGTTTCGAACAGTGGGTTTAAAACAGCTTCTTCTTTAAATAATTCTACTTTAAAAATCTCTATTATGCTAATTATTTCTGTTTATTTCCATTAATGACACATTTGCTGACGCATCAATTTCTTGCCTATGCTGAACTTGTACAGTTGAAGTTAGAATTACTAGCCCTCCTGAATTATTAGCCTCCCTGGTGTGTGTGTGTGTGTGTGTGTATATATATATATATATATAAAACCCAATTTCTGTTTAACAGAAATTGTTTTTCTAAACAATAATAACTAATGTCTAATAACTTTCTAATAATTTATTTTATTGTTGCCATGATGACAGTAAATAATATTTGGCTTGATATTTTTCAAGATACTAGTATTCAGCTTAAAGTGACATTTTAACTGGGTTAACTAGGCAAGTTAGGGTAATTATGCAAGTCATTGTATAACGATAATTTGTTCTGGAGACAATAGAAAACAAATATTGCTTAAGAGGGCTAATAATATTGCCCTTCTAGCCAAAATAAAACAAATAACTTTCATCGGAAGAAAAATTATTATCAGAAATACTATGAAAATTTTTTTGAGCTGAAACAAGAACTTTTGCTTTATTTCTTTTAACATTTTCTGCTTGTATTGATGTAAACTCTGTTGTGTTGCAGAGTGGAAATGGTGGCCAGAGGTCAGAAACGAAAGCTCTGCAGAGACGACGAGGGAGCAGGTTCAGCTTGGGAAAGTCAGCTGCAGTCTGTGCTGGACATTTCCATGGACAAATACCAGCGGGACCAGGCTCTGGTGGAGCCCAGCTTATTACGGTCAGTTCTGATCAACAACACCCTGCGGCAGGTTCAGTCTGAGGTCCGTGCACAGGTAGACTCACTCTCCCCTCTAAACCAATCACAGCCCAAGCCTCAAGATTTTCCTCAAATACTCTCTCCGGTTGACCGTAACGCATCTCTGTTCTCGCTGAATGCTGAAAACGTGGAGGAAGATATCACGGGCTGGACATCAGAGGAGGATTTCTCATTATCTTCTGCCATCTCTGCCATTCTCAAAGATCTAGACGCCATCATCGATGGACCGTCTCAACGTTCTCCACTCGGATCCATAGAGAATCTACCAGGGTGTTCAAGTTTGAGGGCTGAAAAATCATACTTCAGAACAGAGGCCACGTGTCCAGGTCAAGACGTGTCTTTGGATAAACTACTTATGGACATCGATTCATCCGTTTTTGAGCCTGAAGTGAATCTCCTGCAAGGCTTTTCTGATGATTTAGTGAAGTATCTACCATCCTTGTCCAAATCCCCATCAGCTTCTCCATCTGTGGTTTCTCCAGGTCAGGCCACATGGGAAATCCAGGAGATCGAGCATGTTATGGACTTCCTGATGCGGACGTATCCGTGAAGATGATTTTAATGATTGGTTGAGTTATTTAAATGGTTTTTACGGATGTCTTGGACATCTAGACATGTAAATGAAGATGGCTTGGCTAAAGCAATGCTAAATTTGGACTGCCAGTGAACATCTAATAGACATCCAAGAAAGGACCAAAACTAGACTAGTCATCAAATACACATTAAGCCTGATTTATACTTCTGCGTCAGGTGACCGGCGTGACCCACGGCGCATGCAACGTGCGTGGCTGGGCATTTATACTTCTGCGCGCTGTCTCTGTTGGTCTGCATTAACACTTCCGAAACGCTAGTTGGCAGTGAGGTGTAAATGTTCCTCTGTGTCAAGTTTCTTCGCTACTTTTTTGCATTTCCTGAACACTTCCGAGATGTACAAGTGGCTCAAACTCGCTCATTTTGAGGCAGGAACCGGCGGACGTGCAATAACTTTAACTATAAGGTAAACACAAAACAAAACTTTCCATCCGGAGCTCCTTCACGGGACTCCACACTTGTAAACAATCACTCGCGCGGCGTCGCGCCATTCGCGCGGCTCTCGTCCCGTCCAGACTCGTCAGCGCTACTAAGCCGACCAATCACAGAGCTTACGCTACGCGTCGTTGCGACGTGTAGTTACATTTTTTGAGAGGTGCACGTCAGCGATGGCCACGGCGAAGGGCTATGCGTCAGCGCCGTAGCATACACCGGCGTTAGACGCAGAAGTATAAATCAGCCTTTAGACAGACAACTCATATGTAGTCGTTCATTTTTTGTATTTGATGATTAGTCTAGATTTGGGCTTTTCTTCGATGTCTATTAGATGTTCACTGACAGCCTTATGTTTTACCAAAGCTGTCTATTAGACATTTATAAAAGCTTGCTGGGTGACCAGTTGCTCCTCAACAATTCCTTCTGCTTTTAAAAGAAGCCCTTTTGTTTTTAAAAACAGTCTAATAGACGTCTAAATATAGACAGCTTCATTAAAGCAAGGCTAAATTTGAGCTGCCAGTGAACATCTAATAGACATCCAAGAAAAGACCAAATCAAGACTAGTCATCAAATACAAAAAAATAAAAGACTACATATGTGAAGTCCGTCTAATCTGTCTATTTGATGACTAGTCTAGTTTTGGTCTATAATTAGATGTCTATTAGATGTTCACAGACGGTTTAAATTTAGCCTTGTTTTAGGCAAGCCCTTTACATTTAGACATCTATTAAACATCTATTAGATGTATTTTGAAAACAAAAGGGCTTCTTTAAAAAGCACAAGGGCTTGTTGAGGAGTAACTGGTCACCTAGCAAGCAATTTTGTTTAAAAAAAAAAAAAAGTTTAATAGACGTCTAAACATAGACGGCTTTGGTAAAACATAAAGCTGTCAGTGAACATCTAATAGACATCCAAGAAAGGACCAAATCTAGACTAGTCATCAAATACAAAAAAATAAACGACTACATATGTGAAGTCTGTCTAATCTGTATTTGATGACTAGTCTAGTTTTGGTCTGTTCTTAGATGTCTATTAGATGTTCACAGACAGCTCAAATTTATCCTTGCTTTAGCCAAGCCATCTTCATCTAGTTGTCTATTAGACATTTATTAGACTTTTAAAAGCTCAAGGGCTTGTTGAGGAGTAATTGGTCACCCAGCAAGCATCTTTTGTATTTAAAAGAAGTCTAATAGACGTCTAAACAGAAGGTTTCGTTAAAACGAGGTTAAATTTGAGCTGTCAGTGAACATCTAATAGACATCCAAGAAAAGCCCAAATCTTGACTAGTCTACTACATATGTGAAGTCTGTCTAATCTGTCTATTTGATGACTGGTCTAGTTTTGGTCTATAATTAGATGTCTATTAGATGTTCACAGACTACTTTGTTTTAGGCTAGTCCTTTACATTTAGACATCTATTAAACATCTATTAGATGTCTTTTGAAAACAAAAGGGCTTCTTTAAAAAGCACAAGGGCTTGTTGAGGAGTAACTGGTCACCCAGCAAGCATTTTTTGTTTAAAAAAAAAAAAAAGTCTAATAGACGTCTAAACATAGACGGCTTTGGTAAAACATAAGGCTGTCAGTGAACATCTAATAGACATCGAAAAAAAGTCCAAATCTAGACTAATCATCAAATACAAAAAAATAATGACTACATATGTGAAGTCTGTCTAATCTGTCTTTGATGACTGGTCTAGTTTTGGTCTATAATAAGATGTCTATTAGATGTTCACAGACAGCTCAAATTTAGCCTCGTTTTAGCCAAACCATCTACGTTTAGACGTCTATTAGACATCTATTAGACTTTTAAAAGCACAAGGGCTTGTTGAGGAGTAACTGGTCACCCAGCAAGCATTTTTTGTTTTTAAAATAAGTCTAATAGACGTCTAAACATTAATTTAAAGATGAATTCCACACAAAGTTCAGCAGGAAGCGTCCCGTACACAAGTGTTGTGAAGCGAGTCCTTTAAAAAAGTGCCGTTTTACTATATTATTCTCTAAGATATGCACTTTCCATTCGTTCAGAGTCTTACATTTTATAATGCATACTTGAGTCTTTCATTCGCAGGTTGCCTTTAAGAGTATCCCGTCTGGATTAGGTTATTAACATATGAGATATGTGTGTTTATTTTTAACTGTAAAGGTATTATAATGTCCGGTTAATGTATAACATGAATATACTGGTGCTGTTTCAGATGTGTCGATGCCTATGCAACATATTTACTATTGTCAGTATGAAATTATAATGATGTGTTGTGATCTGTTGTATGTTTGTGTACTCAAATAAAGAGGTACTTGGTGACATCAAGTGGCTAAATGAGGGAGTGCTACTGTGTTTTTAGTTGATAAAAAGGGAAAAAAAAAAAAGGTTTTCTTTGGTAAAATGGTCTAGAAAATGGTCATATTAAGTGTTGTTTGCTGTTATAAATGACAAAAGTGGAAATAAATAGCAACTTTTTTTTATCTAGTGGAAAATCTAATACTGGCGAGGCAGTGGCGCAGTAGGTAGTGCTGTCGCCTCACAGCAAGAAGGTCGCTGGTTCGAACCTCGGCTCAGTTGGCGTTTCTGTGTGGAGTTTGCATGTTCTCCCTGCCTTCGCGTGGGTTTCCTCCGGGTGCTCCGGTTTCCCCCACAGTCCAAAGACATGCGGTACAGGTGAATTGGGTAGGCTAAATTGTCCGTAGTGTATGAGTGTGTGTGTGGATGTTTCCCAGAGATGGGTTGCGGCTGGAAGGGCATCCGCTGCGTAAAAACTTCCTGGATAAGTTGGGGGTTCATTCCGCTGTGGCGACCCCGGATTAATAAAAGGACTAAGCCGACAAGAAAGTGAATGAATGAATGAAATCTGATACTGGGGTGACGGTGGCTCAGTGGTTAGCACTGTCGCCTCATAGCAAGAAGGCTGCTGGTGTGGAGTTTGCATGTTCTCCCCATGTTGGTGTGGGTTTCCTCCGGGTGCTTCGGTTTCCTAAAAAACCCAAACATGTGCTAAAAGGTAAACTGAATAAACTCAATTAGCCACAGTGTGTGTCTTTCCCATTACTGGGTTGCAGCTGGATCGCCATCTGCTGTGTAAAACGTATGCTGAATAAGTAGGCGGTTCATTCCGCTGTGGCGGCCCCTGATGAATAAAGGGGCTAAGCTGAAGGAAAATGAATGAATGAAAATATTTCCTAGGTAAAATAAAAATAATGAAGTAAAAAAATTATAATTACTGGAAGCAAACTGCACTCATGCCTTTAACTGTTCTCATGTTTTTATTGTACATTTTAGGAACTCAGTTTTAAATTAAAGAGTGTTTTTCATTCAAAAAAAACTTTTTTATAACTTTTTTGCACTTCAAAAAACTCCCAAGTGTCTTTTTTTCTTTTATTCCAAATCATAAGTTTTATCTCATAATAATAATAATAATAATAATAATATTCCTAGAGATGGGTTGCAGCTGGAAAGGCATCCGCTGTGTAAAAACGTGCTGGATAAGTTGGTTCATTCTGCTGTGGTTTAATACAGGGACTAAGCCGACAAGAAAATGAAAGAATGATTAATAATAATAATAGACTATAAATAGAACTGGATAAATAAAACTGTTGCATAAAATCTAAAAACACAAAATGTTAAATTAACAAAAAATTAATCAAATAATGATTCAACTGCTTTATTAAAATACATAAAAAAAAACATATTTTTAGGAAAGGGTTAGGAAGTTTATGGAAATAAAAGCAGGTGTAGAAATAACAGCTTTTTTTAACAGCTCTTAAAAGTCAGCCAAGTTTTAAGAAAAACAAAATCTTTAACACTTTTTTTTTGGCACTTAATTCTGACTTTATAATTTAGAATTCTGGCTTAAATCGCAATTCTGACTTAATAACAGGTAATTCTGACTTTAGAACTCGGACTAAACTCGCAATTCTGACTTTATAACTCAGAACTCTGGCTTAACTTGTAATTCTGACTTTATGGATGTGTGTGTGTGTATGGATGGATGTTTCCCAGTACTGGGTTGCAGTGGGAAGGGCATCTGCTGTGTAAAACATATGCTGCGGTTCATTTCGCTGTGGCGACCCCTGAGGAATAAAGGGACTAAGCCGAAGGAAAGGAATGATTCGTTATTTAAAAAATGACAAAAAATATTAACAATTTTGAGAATTTGATCATTTTAAACGGTAAATCTTTCATTCACGAATGCAGGCTTTCAAAATCTCAGGTCTTTTCTAAATTTATTCTTACTATGGTCTTTCATGAGTTATTATGAAGCTGTAGTTGGCATCTGTAAATGTCTTTCATTGTGTTTTTTTTTTTTTTTATTTAAATGATGCCTGTTTTTCCTATAATTGTAAATTTCTAACGCACAAAAAAATAATTACAAAAAAAAACTACAAAAGGTACTACATGGGACTTGTTTATTCTTTTATGAAAATGAAAACAGTACAGATACTCACTTGTTTTTAACCAAACAAATGTCAATCCACAAAGTACAGCTTTATTTGATTTTCTGTGCATGCATTTCTTTAAAAACAGTTTGTTCTTCTGACAGTCAATATCAGACAATTATTTTGTTCCCTGCTGTCCAACACTTCCTATACAGTCGCAATAATACAAAGTTATATTTGATAAACATACAGTACTACAATAAAAGACAAAAGCAAAAAGTGTCCGTCCAAAATCACAATGACTGACTCCACAAGGTAAAAGGTCAGATTATAAAGTGCATATGATACACTCTCCACATATCTGGACACCAAAATACAACATTCACTACCTATGAAAAACTACTAGTCGATTAAAGCAGTGTCTCTCAACCACATTCCTGGAGGACCACCAGCACGGCATGCTTCGGATGCCTCCTTTGTCACACCCATTACAGGTCTTTCAGTGTCTGCTAATGAGCTGTAATCTAAATACAGTGTGTTTGGTTATGGAGACATGGAAAATGAGCAGAGCCGGTGGTCCTCCAGGAACATGGTTGAGAAACACTGATTTAAAGGGATAGTGCAACCAAAAATTAAAGTGGTTGTAAACTGAATTTCTTTAGTCTGTTGAACACAAAACAAGATATTTCGAAGAATGTTGGAAAGCAATAAAACACTATGAAATTCATTATCAGCTTTCGTCCAGTATATTTTCCTTAGTGTTCAACACAATAAGAAAACTTGGATCATAACAAGTGAAGGATGAGTAAATAATACATTTTTCTTGGTGAACTATCCCTTTAATGACAATCTTACTGACAAATAACAGTTGTAGACATTTATCAAGAATGATCAGTTGGTCCATGCATTTAATAACCTACAAATTACATACCCTAAATAATTGTCATGCTAAGAATTAACGAGCAACATTTCCTAAAGCAAAGGCACAACATTTAATATAACATCCCTTCAAGTCTTGAAGTTCACAATTGCTCACTTCAAACTGAACAATATTTGGTTCATGAAACTACTTCATCCACAAAGAGGATTTTCTAAAAAACAGAATACATCTGCACCCTCAGAAATAAAGGTACAAATATACTGGAATTTGCTACCGATCAGTACTGAAATTTAAAAAACATCCATTTCCTGCTAACATTTGAGCGTGTTCTTGAACGGTTGATTGGCTATTGTGTTCACGTGCTCAACAGAAATGACTGATTTGCCGTGAAGGTCATCAGTTCAGCGAACTCACCGCTGTTTACTGAGTGTAAACACAGATAGAGGGACACTGGAGTGTTTTAAAGCTGTGATTTATCAGTGGATCGCTCGTATGTCAGCTTATAGACAAACCGGTGAACTGATGACCTTCACAGCCAATCACAGTCATTTCTGTTGAGCATGACAACAATGTCAAATCAGCGCTGTTTAAGAACTTGCTCAGCAGCGCTCAAATGTTAGCGGGAAATGGACATTTTTAAAATATCGGTAACCAAATTCCAATATCGTGACATCCCTAGCAGTAACTTTTGAATAAGTACATTTTCAGACCTTAAAGATGCATATCAACACATTAAAAGTACAAACGTGTACCATATAGTGTTGTCCTGATACTGGAATTCAGTACTGATCGATACTGACATTTTAATAATGTTCATTTCCCACTAACATATGATCGTGTTCTTAAACAGCGCTGATTTGACATTGTGTTCAGGTGCTCAACAGAAAGGACTGTGAATGGCTGTGAAGGTCATCAGTTCACCAAACTCACCGCTGTTTACTGAATGTAACGACAGACACGGGGACACTGGAGTGTTTTGAAGCTGCGATTGATTGGCGGATCGCTCTTATGTCAGCTTATAAACAAATCAGATGATGGACGAGACTTTGAAACACTTCAGTGTCCCTGTGTCTGTGGTTATCATCAGTAAACAGCGGTGAGTTCGGTGAATTGATGACCTTCACGCCCAATCACTGTCATTTCTGTTGAGCATGTGAACACAACGGCCAATCAGCACTGTTTAAAAATGCCCTCAACAGCGCTCAAATGTTAGCAGGAAACGTTTTTAAAATTTCAGCATCGATTGGTATCCAATTCCAGTATCGTGACAACCCAAGCAGTACCTTCCCAAAAGTGACATTTTTGGTCTTTAAAGATACATAAACACCTAAACAGTAGAAACGTGTACTTCATAGGGTTGTCACGATACTGGAATTCAGTACTAATCGATGCTGAAATTTTAAACATGTCCATTCCCCACTAAGATTTCAGCGCTGTTGAGCACGTTCTTAAACAGCGCTGATTTGCCATTGTGTTCACACTAAACTTGAAATGACTGATTGGTTGTGAAGGTCATCGGTTCACCGAACTCACCACTGTTTACTGAGTGTAACCACAGACACGGGGACACTGGAGCGTTTTATATGTCAGCTTATGTCAGGTTATAGACAAACTGGTGAACTGATGACCTTCGCGGCCAATCACAGTCATTTCTGTTGAGCATGTGAACACAATAGCCAATCAGTGCTGTTTAAGAACGTGCTTAACAGCGTTCAAATGTTGGCGGGAAATTGACGTTTTTAAAATTTCATTACCGATTGGTACCAAATTCCAGTATCGTGACAACCCTAGCAGTACCTTTTCAAAGACTACATTTCTGGTCCTTAAAAGATACACATTAATACTTGAAAAGTACAAACGTGTACCACATAGGGTTGTCACGGTACTGGAATTTAACACCAATCAGCACCGATATTCAAAAAAGCCCATTCATTTGCCGCAAAAATGTGAGCGATGTTAAGCACGTTCTTAAACAGTGCTGATTGGCCATTGTGTTCACATGCTCAACAGAAATGACTGTGATTGGTTGTGAAGGTCATCAGTTCACCGAACTCATAGCTGTAGCCACAGACACAGGAACACTGGAGTGTTTTAAAGTCACGTCGATCAGCTGCTTTGTTTATAAGCCGACATACGAGCGGTCCGCTGATGAATCGCGGTTTTAAAATGATCCATTGTCCAATCAGAGTCACTTCTGTTGAGCACGTGAACACAATGGCCAATCATCGCCATTAAAGAACGCGCTCAAATGTTAGCAGGAAATTAATGCTTTTAAAAATCAGTATTGATTGGCACCGAATCCCAGTATTGTGACAACCCTAGTACCTCAAAGTACCCTAGAGCAGTGTTTCCCAACCCTGTTCCTGGAGGCACACCGACACTACAGAAATTGGATGTCTTCTTATCTGACCCATTAACTTCAGGTTTGGGAGTCTCTTTTAATGTTCGGATGAGTTGATTCAGGTGTGTTTGAATAGGAAGAGGTTAAAAATGTGTACTGTCGGTGTGTCTTTAGGAACATGGTTGGGAAACACTGGTTTAGAGCAATGTTTTCCAACCTTGTTTCTGGAGGCACACCAACAGTACACATTTTCAACCTCTCTCTAATCAAACACACCTGAATCAGGAACAGGGTTGGGAAACACTGGTTTATAGCAACCCTGTTCCTGGAGGCACACCAACAGTACATGTTTTGGATGTGTTATCTGAGCCGTTTGAAGGCTCTTCTGATGTTCTGAGGAGTTGATTAAGGTGTTTTTAAATAGGAAGAGGTTAAAATGTGTACTGTTTGTGTGCCTTCAGGAACAGGGTTGGGAAAGACTACCTTAGAGGTATAAAAGTGAACCCTTAAGGGACAAATGTGTACCTTAAAGGTACTAATGTCCACTTGTATGGTACAAAAATGCCCCTTTAAGAAGGTACCACCCCAGTGACAGATCTTGTACCTTTCTTTCTGAGTGTGTGAAGTAAAGGTTTGCCTTATTGCACATTGAAGCCCCTGCTAACCTGCAATGTGTTGATGTTTCATGTCCACACAAATTACAATTCACTGTCCTTATGTGACTGTGGAGGGATGTGGTGTTTTATCTATTTATGGAGTTGTAGGAGACTTGCGAGCTGGGATCCAGAGGCTTAATTGAGGCCTTCTCAGCCTCCGGCGAATCGTCTTCAGGCCCTGCTTCTATTATTGGCTCTTTATCCTCCTCGTCTTCCTCGCAGCTCGGCAGGTGGAAGAAAGCCGTCCAGCCGTAAACATCAGCAAGCTTGTGAAATGTGCGGAGGACCAGGAACATCACCATCAATCCCACAAACAGGTAGACTGTAAGAAAACAAGAAGTTCATAATGATATTTGGTTTTTGGGCTTTTATACGAAAACGTCTGGGCAGCCCTGCTCTAAAAGAAAAAAGAAATCTCTGAAAATACACCAGGTTTACTGAAAACCCAAGACTGAAGTCTCTTACCCATGACTGATATCTTGTACAAAGCTCTGAGACTCTGTCCTGGTTTTTCCGCAGGCACAAAGTCCCCGAGTCCTATAGTGCAGAGAGAGATGAAGCAGAAGTAGAAGGCATCCAGGAAAGACCAGGTCTCTTCAATGGCGCTGAACACCAGCGACGGCACCACGAAGAAGCAGAGCACCACCAGAAACAGCAGGACGATGAAGTGCACCACGCTGGCTGACCGTTGCTGCAGACCGGCCCGCCGCTGGCATGCGGAGATCGGCCTGTAGGTCAGCGGGTGCATGAGGCGCTGCACACACGCTGTCAGCACCAGCATGGTGAACGGGACGCCGATCAGAGCGTACACGATGGAGAAGGCTTTACCGGCGTCTGAGAGTGGCGTCGTGTGGCCATATCCTGCAGGACAGAGACAGAACAGAGAGAAATAAATAAAGATGGAGGTGAAAGTTTATTTGTGAGGCACTCTGCTTAAAGAAAAAAATAACTTACTTGTTTTAAACCTTTAAGAGTTTCTTTTTTTCTCGTTAAACACACACACAAAAAAGATATTTTGTAGAATGTTGGAAACCTGTAACCATTGACTTTTAATGTATTTGTTTTTCCTACTATGGAAGTAAATGAATACAGGTTTCCAACATTATTCAAAACATCTTCTTTTGTGTTTAAAAAAAAAGAAATTTATGAAAGTTTGAAACATAAAAATTATGACAATTTTAATTTTTGGCTTTACTATCATCTTAAGAATTTAAATTTAAATTCTGTCATCATTTTCATGTTTCAAATCTTTGAGTTTCTTTTTTTTTTAAACACGAAGATATTTTGAAGAATGTTGGAAAACTGTAACAACTGACGTTCATAGTATTTGTTTTTCCTACTTTGAAAGTCAATGGTTACAGGTTTACAAAAAAAGAAAATAACTCTTAAAGGTTAGAAACAAGTAAATGGTGACAGAATACATTTTTTGGGGTGTACTATCCCTTTAAGAACTAAAATTCTGCCACCATTTACTTGTTTCAAATCTTGACTTTCTTCTATTCAACACTAAAAGAAGATGTTTTGAAGAATGTTGGAAACCCTGTAACCATTGACTTCTATAGCAGGAAAAACAAATACTATGGAAGTCAATGGTTACAGGTTTCTAACATTATTCAAAATATCTTCTTTTGTGTTTAACATCAAAAAAAGAAACTAATAAATGGTTGAAACAAGTAAATGATGACAGAATTGAAATTTTTGGGTGAACTGTCCCTTTAAGAACTAAAATTCTGACACCATTTACTTGTTTTAAACCCTTTAAGAATTTATTTTTTTCTGTTAAACACAAAAGAAGATGTTTTGAATAATGTTGGAAACCTGTAACCATTGACTTTTAAACTAGGAAAAACAAACACTATGGAAGTCAATGGTTACAGGTTTCCAGCATATATTCGTTGGAGTTTAATCAAAAAAGAAACTCTTAAAGATTTGAAACAAGTAAATGACGGCAGAATTTTAATTTGATTTCTTAAAGAGAATTAATAGAGAGTTCACCCAAAATTTTTATTCTGTCATCATTTACTTGATTCAAACCTTGATGAGTTTCTTTCTTCTGTTAAACGCTAAAGAAAGATAATTTGAAGAATGTTGGAAACCTGTAACCATTGACTTTTAAACTAGGAAAAACAAACACTATGGAAGTCAATGGTTACAGGTTTCCAATATTTGACTAAATAGGTCAAAAATTACGGGTACTGGTATTACTATACTTATGGGGACATTTTGCTCTCTCAACATAGTGAATACCACACACAAAGACGACTCAATGAGTTTTAAATGTTATTTAATAATATCAAATCAATCCTTCACAGGTCATTTTGGCCAGCATTCAAATTCAGATTAAGTTTACCCAGCATCATAGCTGGGTAAACTTAGAGCGCAGTGAAGTTTGCAGAAATATTAAAGAAAAACTCCACAATGGTGTCTTTCAGAAAAAGGAAAGAAATTGTGTGAGACTGATAACGGCAGCAAGAAGAGAGAATCGTGTCAAATTTGTTGTGCTGCCCCATAGACGCTGCATTAGAAACACCTCACATAAGCGGTCAATCGTTTTTTGTAATTTGACGCAACGATGATATAACAAATTCATAAATGCATATGTTTTTACGTAAAAAAAAAACAATAATTCAGGGATTTAAGATTATGATGACCGTTAAACGTGCCATAACAGTCCTGTGAAAAGGGTCTATAAGGTTGGACAAATGACTGGAATTGTAATTGTAAACAAATTTGTATCTTAAACTATTCAAAATAATATATTATAATATATTATATTAATAGTAATCGCCAATTGTTACATACAAGTTATAAATAAGCAATAATAAAAACAGAAATAAAAGGATCAACATGGGCTGACAGAAGTGGTGTAAAATTGTGTTTGGATGATTTATTGCAACAATAGTTTAACGCAGGCAGACCTACAGAATCTAAATCTGCTTTATTATCAAGCCATTAAAACAGTGTCATTATAATGCGTCTGTCGACATGACGACGGTGGTTTGCAGAGCTTATGCAAACATTTCCATATCACTAGTATGATCAGAGGATTTCTTTACTGCGGTTTTCTTCCCACTGTCATTATCCTTGTGCTTACTTTCTGACGTGGCTTTAACACTTTCCAAATTTAATTTGCGGCCATTTAAGGAACAAAGTTAAAGAATTTAAAGTTCGGCAAACATACATTACTAATGTCTTTATTTAGATACAGTGTGATAAAGATTTAGCCTTTTTTACGTGATTTGCATATGAAGTTAACCTACAATGAACATTTTCTCATTTTCTTTCACTCCTGTCAATACAAACATGTGTGGCTTACTCATTTTGAACTGTTTTTGTCAACAGAATGACCGTCAGTTTAGTCCAAAACAACTTCAGATGCAGCATGAGTGATTAAAAAGTCATAATCTTCATTTGTGGAAGAATTATCTCTTTATCTGTCTAATTATAAACAGCATGTGATTTCCTGACTTCATAAAGCTTTTAGCATAATCTAATTCAGAGCAGGGGTCGACTACACCGGCTAACCTGCTCAATGAAAGGAGCGCTTTATACAGACAAACAGGTCAAAGGAGCGATTTCACATGTTTGCATGACTTAAAACCCAGTTAAAGCAAACAAAGCCTGCACTATATATGCTTAAACACGAAAGAGTGGAAAAAATGGGATTTCTGGGTCTTGAAAAATAAATCCATGAAAATAACTCTCTGAAGCGCTTGATTCTGATTGGCCAGTCACAACATTCCAAGGCATGTAACTTTCAGATAACAACTAGGGCTGCAACTAACGTTATATTGATTAATCTGTCAATTATTTTTCGATCAGATTAAAAAGAAAAGAAAAAAGCATGCATTCATCAAGAAAAGCATGCATTCATCTCTAAATGAATGAGAATACACACCTTTTACTTGTTTCAAACCTTTATGAGTTTCTTTTTTTCTGTTAAACACAAAAGAAGATATTTTGAAAAATGTTGGAAACCTGTAACCATTGACTTCCATAGTATTTTGCTTAAAAAAAAAAAAAAAAAAACTCAAAGGTTTATGAGTTTAAGGATGAACCAATTAAAGGCAAGTAATGCCAATCTGATTTCAGCAAGTAGGACATGTTCCTGGATTAACATCTGTTGATCCTGGAAGAACACTCCAATCAGCCAGTCAGAATTAAGGGACACAAATAGGGCCCTATCATACACCCGGCGCAATGTGCCGCAAGGTGCGACGCAATTGTTGTTTGCTAGTTCCAGCTCTACGCAAGAGTCTTTTTGACATTTTGCGCCAAGCTGTTTAAAGCAAATGCATTTGCGCTCATATGTGCGCCCACAGGCGTTCTGGTCTAAAAAAAGCAGGCATGTTTTGGCGCATTGCTATTTTGAGAAACTATAATAGTCTGTTCTTTAGACCAGAACAAAGCCGGTCTATTGTCTGGCGCAAAGTGTGCCTCGCTTACACACTGCTTAATACACACAAGATGTAGAGCAAAACGCAAATATCTTTACATATAAAAAATATATAAAATATTAGGGATATATATATATATTGGATATAATAAGTATGTACAGTTGAAGTCAGAATTTTTAGCCCCCTTCAAATTTTTTTCTTCTTTTTAAAATATTTTTCAAACTATGTTTAACAGAGCAAGGCAAATTTTCACAGTTTGTCTGATAATATTTTTTCTTCTGCAAAGAGTCTTAGTTTTTTTATTTCGGCTAGAATAAAGGCAGTTTTCAATTTTTTAAACACCATTTTATGGACAAAATTTTTAGGCCCTTTAAGCTAATTTTTTTCTCGATAATCTACAGAACAAACCATCATTATACAATAACTTGTCTAATTACCCTAACCTGCCTAGTTACCCTAATTAACCTAGTTAGGCCTTTAAATGTCACTTTAAGCTGTATAGAAGTGTCTTGAAAAATATCCAGTCAAATATTATTTACTGCCATCATGGCAAAGCTAAAATAAATCAGTTATTGGAAATTCGTTATTAAAACTATTATGTTTAGAAATGTGCTGAAAAAATATTTTCTCCGTTAAACAGAAATTGGGGAAAAAATAAACAAGCGGCCTAATAATTCAGGGGGGGCTAATAATTCTGACTTCAACTGTATGTAGGATATAAATATAAAGGATTAAAATATTACAAAACATATTATTTTCTAGCCTACATGAATTTAAAACCCACTGCCTTCATACTTTCTTCATCTCGGGAGGCTTTTTCAGTTCATTCGATTTGCTTTTGTATAATGTTATTATTATTAGCTGTATTTTTTATTATATCCATATTTATATTTGTTTTATAAAAAACAAGCTTAGATTTGCCCACCTGTCAGGTTTCAGACCATATGGGGCACAGCATGTGTATGAGGATAAAACTCAGTTGTTTGAGCACACTTCGCTATTATTGTTCATTTATTCGTTTGCTGGAAATTAGAACTGAATTTAGAAATAGTTTTGAACAAATATTTGCGCTTAAACTAAATTAATTATTTATAGGCTAATTGATGTCTGTGTGTACAAGGTTTCCCTATCCACGAGAGCGAAAGTGAAAGTAGATTATGAGATGCCTTATCTCTCATTCTCGCGCTGCAGATGCTCTGTTTAGCTGTTTTCTTGCTAGTGAAATGCTCCGTTTTACCTCTTGCACTTACTTTACATCATGTAAATAGCAAATGCGCTTATGGCACGACGCAACTGGCTCTTAAAGGGAATGGGAGATGAGACTCTGATTGGTTTATTCTCAAAACACACCTATAACGCATTAAGATAATAAACTCAACCCTTTTAGACTATGCGCCACGGCGCAAAGCGGATTTTTCTGTCCCTGAAAGCGTTTGCGTCCTGCGCTTTGCGAATGGTCCGTCAAAATAGAGCCCTTAGAGTCTAAGTTTAGGCTTACGGTTAGCTTTATGCACTTCCACATGATTATTATGCAACTATTACTCACCTCTGATTGGTGAATAATTTAATTATGGTTGGGCTTAGGGGTAGGGAATAGGTATGGAACAAAAATTATGTTCCAGGATCAACATAGATGTTAATCCAGGATCCCGTCGTACTTAGCAAAATCATGATGTGTGGTGATGAAATGTTCATTTAACATGATTTGTAAATGTGTGTCACTTTTCTGGAAGTGCAGCTTTACTGAACATTTTTAACAAAACAACCGTCTTGAAGCTAAAATGTGAAAAACCACCGTGTCCTCGTTCTTTGCATTGTTTGGACTCCACTGAGCTCGCTGACACCATCAGAAAAGATTAGATTACATGACAGAGGCTGCGCAATCAGCTAAAATGATGATGATGATGATGATGATGATGATGACATTAGTCTTTTGTGAACATGATGTGCGATATATATTGCATCACACAAAACGACTGAGGTTACATTCATGTGTTGAGTGATAAATTGATGTATTCATTATTCTGAAATGCTTTAGTTCTGAGTTTTAAGTAAGACTATGCAGTATTTTACAAATTCAATCAATGGTGTGATCAAAAGTAGATGTTTTTTTTACAGAATTGTTTATTTTTTACAGCAAAGCAAGAATTGAAGCTGATAATGTTATCGATTTTGAGTCACTTATTAGTCATTTAGGCCACAGAAATATAAAAAAATACCCTGCAAATTCCCTGAGGGACTGTTTAATGAAAAAAAAGCATTTGTTTTACACACAAAAGGAGTTTTATGAATATCTCCATCCTGTAAATCTCGCCAGTGTGTACATAAAGCGATTAAGAGCCTATATGTTTCTGCTTTAGAGAAAATGTTGATGAGATCAGTCTTTTGTAAACATGGTGGGTGATATACATTAAGTGCATCACATTAAACGACTGAGGTTACATTCATGTTCTGAGTGATGAATTGGTGTATTGATTATTGTGACGTGCGTGAATCATTTTTATTTGGATGGCTTTAAAGTAAGACTACAATACTTTACAAATTTAATCAATGGTAAGATCAAAAATGGATATATTTTTTACAGAATTGTTTCTTTTTACAGCAAAACAAGGATTGAAGTTGATAATGTTAAAGATTTTGAGTCATTTATCAGTCATTTAGGCCGCAGAAATATTTAAAAATACCCTGCAAAACCCCTGAGGGACTGTTTAATGAAAAACGGCGTTTGTTTTGAAGACTTGCACACAAATGGAGCATTATAAACACAGTATTATGAATATTAAACATCCTGTAAATATTGTCATTGTAAACATAAAGAGATTAAGACTATTTAGATAAAAAGTTGATGATATTAGTCTCTTGTAAACATGATAGGCGATATACATTGCATCACACAAAACGACTGAGGTTACATCCAGGTTTTGACTGATGAGTTGATGTATTGATTATTGTGATGTGCCTAAATCAAATTTTTATTTAGATGAGTTTCAAGTTAGACTATACAACAGGCTAATTTATAAGTCCAATCCATGGTAAGATCAAAAGTTCATATTTGTTTTTACAAGATAGTGTATTTTTACAGCAAAAACAAGGATTTAAGTAAATAATGTTATAGATTTTGAGAAATGCAGTCACAAAATTCTGTCATTCAGGCCATGAAAATATTTTTAAATACCCTGCAAACTCCCAGAGGATCTGCTTGATGAAAAAAAGCATTTGTTTCTAAAACTTTCCACACAAAAGAAGTGTTATGAACCTCTCCATCCTGTTAAACATCATGTAAATCTCGCCATTGTGAACTTAAAGAGATTAGGGGCCTATATAGTTCTGTTTTAGAAAAAAATGATGATGACATCAGTCTTTTGTAAACATGATGGATGATATACATTAATTGCATCACACAAACGACTGAGGTTACATCCAGGATTTGAGTGATGCATTGATTAGATTATTGTGACGTGCGTTAATCACTTTTTTGAATGAGTTTTAAGTAAGATACAGTAGGCTATTTTACAAGTTCAATCAATGGTAAGATTAAAATTAGATATTTCTAAGAAGATTGTTTGTTTTTACAGCAAAACAAAGAATGAAGCTGATAATTTTATAGGTTTTGAGAAATGTAGTCATTTAGGCCACTGAAATAGTTCAAAATACCCTGCAAACTCCCAGAGGGTCTGTTTGATGAAAAAAGCATTTGTTCTGCAAGACTTTTCACACAAAAGGAATATTATGAACCTCTCCATCCTGTTAAACATCATGTAAATCTCACCATTGTGAACATAAAGAGATCAAGAGCCTATATGTTTCTGCTTTAGAGAAAATGATGATGACATCAGTCTTTTGTAAACATGATGGGTGATTACATTTATTGCATCACAAAAAAACGACTGAGGTTACAACTAGGTTTTGAGTAATGAATCGATTTGATTATTGTGACGTGCGTTAATCACATTTTTTAATGAGTTTCAAGTAAAACTATACTATACTATACAGTAGGCTATTTTACAAGTCCAAATCAATGGTAAGATCAAAACTAGATTTTTTTTTTCTTTTACAAAATTGTTTATTTTACACCAAACAAGGAATAAGTTAAATAATGTTATAGATTTTGAGAAAAGTCGTCATAAAATCAGTCATTTAGGCCACAGAAATATTCAAAATACCCAGCAAAATCCCAGAGGGTCTGCTGGATGAAAAAAAGCGTTTGTTTTGTAAGACTTTCCACACAAAAGGACTATTATGAACATCTTCATCCTGTTAAACATCCTGTAAATCTCGCCATTGTGTACATAAAGTGATTAAGAGTCTATTTAAGTTTAAGTTTAAGTGATTAAGTTTAGAGAAAAAAGTAAACAACTCAAAGCACTGCATGACATGGACTCTCTGCTGTTTACACTCGCATAAACATACAGTTTGTTCAGTTCTGAACTTTGAAACTTCTTTTGTAACCATTTCTAAAGTTTCTCTTAAGAGGAACTAACTTCATTAATCTGCACTCACTTTAAGCAGCAATAAACAAACAGCGCGCATCATCCGCAAAACTTTACTTCAGAGGAAGAAAACTCACCCACTGTCGTCACCATCGTGTTGGCAAAGAACAGAGAAGACGCCAAATCCCAGTTTGTACGAAGAGAAGCATTTTCAAGCACCGACACGCCATATTTATTAGCTTTTAAAACTCTTTCTAAGAAGGTTTCCAGAGCCGTGCTGTTAACGCAGCTCAGGTTGAGGAACTCGGCTTTCAGAGAGCTCAGGTCCGCTTTCAGAGACTCCTCGATGGGCCGCTCGATGGCTGAGAAAACAAGCGCTCCCAATAACAGATATGTGAAGTACGCCAAAATGAAGCCGATGAGCATAAAGCAGGACCTGAACGCCGTTGACATGGTGAGATACGTGTGTGTGAGTGAGAAACACGATGACAGGGATTGTTAATTTGTGGCAGTGATGTGCTCGTCTGATTGAACTCCACCCTCTCTGAGAAAAGTTGGCCAGGAAATAACCCGTGTAGCCTCCTAAAAAGTCACATGGGTGAAACTGTTAGTTTATTGAGTCTGTAACGGTGAGGTGCAACATAAGTTTAGTTCCTCATACGAGCGCTTTCATTTACACCTAACCGTGAAAACGCATTATACCTGTAGTGAGATCACTAGCCAGAGCTCTCATCTCCGCGCCAAAAGAGTCTTAAACGTGTACTGAGGTAATTCTATACTATTTTACTCTTAAAGAAAAATAAATAGTGTTTTGGGAACACTCAGGTGAAATGAATAGCCTACTACTAAAAGGGACAGATCACTCAAAAATGAAAATTGTCATCATTTACTCGCCCTTCATTTGTTTTTAAACTAATTTGAGTTTTTTGTTCTGTTAATTACAAACTAAGATCTATTAAAGAATGTTGGAAACCTGTAACCATTGACTTTCTCTGCCGAATAAACAAATAGGCCAGGCTAGTATGGAAATCAGTGGTTACAGGTTACCAAAAAGACAGGCTATTTTGTTCTACACTCCTTTGTGGTTGGCATCATGTTGAAATCAACAAAAAAACAACAATTTACTGAGTTCCTTTTAAATATACATTTGCGTGAAATTAATATGGGCTGGTTTTTAACTCAATATCGCAATATATTATATACAATCACTGGCCACTTTATTAGGTACACCTTACTAGTACCGGGTTGGACCCTCTTTTGCCTTCGGAACTGTCTCCATATTGACATGATAGCATCACTCTGTTACTGCAGTTTTTCAGCTGCACATCCATAATGTGAATCTCCCGTTGCCCCACATTACAAAGGTGCTCTATTGGATTGAGATATGGTGTCTGTGGAGGCCATTTGAGTACAGTGAACTCTTTGTCATGTTCAAGAAACCAGTCTGAGATGATTTACGCTTTTTGACATGGTGCGTTATCGTGTTGGAAGTAGGCATCAGAAGATGGGTTCACTGTGGTCATAAAGGGATGGACATGGTCAGCAATAATACTTAGGTGGGCAGTGGTGTTGACACGATGCTTGACTTGTACTAATGAGCCCAATTTATGCCAAGAAAATATCCCCCACACCATTATACCACCATAACCTGCCTGAAGCGTTGATAAAAGGCAGGATGGATCCATGCTTTAATGTTATTGATTCCAAATTCTGAACCAACCATCCGAATGTTGCAGCAGAAATGGAGATTCATCAGACCAGGCAACGTTTCTCCAATCTTCTGTTGTCCAGTTTTGGCCTGTGTGAATTGTAGCCTCAGTTTCCTGTTCTTAGCTGACAGGAGTGGCACCCGGTGTGGTTTTCTGCTGCTGTAGCCCATCTGCCTCAAGGTTGGACATGTTGTGCGTTCAGAGATGCTTGTCTGCAGACCTCGGTTGTAACGAGTGCTTAATTGAGATACTGTTGCCTTTCTATCAGCTCCAACCAGTCTGGCCAATCTCCTCTGGCATCAAGGCATTTGTGCGCACAGAACTGCCGCTCACTAGATATTTGATCTTTTTAAGACCATTCTCTGTAAAAAGATGATTGTGAAAATCCCAGTAGATCAGCAGTTTCTGAAACACTTAGACCAGCCTGTCTGGCACCAACAACTATGCCACATTCAAAGTCACTTAAATAACCTTTCTTCCCCATTCTGATGCTCGGTTTGAACTGCAGTAGATCGTCTTGACCATGTCTACATGCGTAAATGCATTGAGTTGAAATGTGATTGGCTGATTGGAAATTTGCTTTAATGAGCAGTTGGACTGGTGTACCTAATAAAGTGGCCGTTGAGCGTAGCATGAACATGTAATATGCATCTGGATGACATCACCACTTCACAGAGATCATAGAGGTATCATAAAAAGCACTTCAAAACAAATCTTTTAAAGCTTGCATTTTACTCTTCTAATGTACTGATACTTTTATGATGCATATGTGTACAGCATGCACTGACGATGGCGAATATTAATTTGCATGGAGTGTTTTACAGTAATAAGAATTTTTGCACAATGACTTATTTCAAATCATTAAATGACACCCCTACAGGTGAATTGGTAGTGTATGTGTGTGAATGAGTGTATATGGATGTTTCCCAGTACTGGGTTGAAGGATTTCTGCTGCGTAAAAACATATGCTGGATAAGTTGGCAGTTCATTCCACTGTGGCGACCCCTTATAAATAAATAGTCTAAGCGCAAAAGAAAATAAATGAATTAATAAATGACCCCCCAATTGCACAAAGACTTTAGTCAGCGTTATGTCTTGATTGTGTCCCATATGTCCATTGATTATATGCCTTTGTGCTTTTCTTGTCCGGTAGGAATGAAAAACAAACTCGTGATGGAGTCTGATATGAAGAAGAAGAAGAGGGAGAAAGTCACATGTTGCCGAGAGGATAGAAATAGCTGCAGTCTCTGTCAAAACAGTTTAGTGCTTTTCTGTTCATATGGGAGTAAACAGACCTCGTATGCACTCATGACGAGGGTGTGTGAGGACAGCAGTGAGAACAGCTGCACACAGGGAACTGCTATCTTGGTAAACAAGCCACAACGTACTCTCTGATTAGGCAAAGTCAAACCGTTTATGCGTTACATCTCATCATGAAGGAGATGTTCTTGAGTGTTTCATGTTAAAATTGGAGCTCATGAAATGTGCATTTGTCATAGTGTCTATAAATAGCTAGCCTGCCAGATGAGAGCAGATAATCGATTGCTATTAGCACATCTGCTTGGGACGCAGGGTTATCTGAGTGAAATGAAACTATTGGTCCATTTTTTTTTTTTTGATTATGTGTAATAAATTTAGGCAACGGGCTGCATGGTGGCGCAGCGGGTAGCAAGTTAACCTCACAGCAAGAAGGTCACTGGTTCGAGCCCCGGCTGGGTCAGTTAGCATTTCTGTGTGGAGTTTGCATGTTCTCTCCGTGTTGGCATGGGTTACCTCCGGGTGCTCCGGTTTCCCCCACAGTTCAAAGAAGTGTGGTACATGTGAATTGGGTAAGTTTAATTGTCCGTAGTGTGTGTGTGTGAGTGTGTGGATGTTTCCCAGTGATAGGTTGTAGTTGAAAGGGCCATCCACTGTGTAAAACATATGCTGGATAAGTTGGCGGTTCATTCCGCTGTGGTGACCCCAGATAAATAAAGGGACTAAGCCGAAAAGAAAATGAATGTATGAATAAAATGTAGGCAACACGGTGGCTCAGTGGTTAGCTTTATTACCTCACAGCAAGAAGGTCGCTGGTTCGAGTCCCCAGCTGGGTCAGTTAGCATTTCTGTGTGGAGTTTGCATGTTGACTCCATGTTGGCGTGGGTTTCCTCTGGTTGTTCTGGTTTCCCCCACAGTCCAAAGACATGTGCCATAGGTGAATTGAATAAACTAAATTGTCCGAAGTGTGTGAATGAGAGTGTATGGATGTTTCCCAGTACTGGGTTACAGCTGGAAGGGCATCCACTGCGTAAAACATATGCTGGATAAGTTGGCGGTTAATTCCTCTGTGGTGACCCCTTAGGGCCTAAGTCAAAGGAAAATGAATAAATGAATGAATGAAATAAATTTAGAAAAATCACAATATATTAAAAGCTAAAATTAATAACAGTCACTGAATTAAACGAACTGAGATAAAATTATAATTAGTAAAAAAATAGTACTTTTCTGAATTAAAAAAGCACTCATTTTGTGGTGGAAAATCTGATCTAGATGCTATGAGAAGTACTTGTAAATTGCACGTTTAGACCCAAACAGAAGAAACTAATTCTTAATTTGCAAAAAATAAAATACAAATCTAAACTAGGCATGTTTAACTACAGCGCTCAGCATACATGAGTTCACCCCATTTTGAAAATGAATATTTTTATCCATTTCTCAGTGAATATAGGTAATATATATCGGTGCATTTGAACAAAACTGATTTATTAAACAGATATATTTATTAAAATAGTATTTAAGCCACCAAACATCATTAGAAATAGAAAGACTACATTTAAATTCATGCGAAATATTGGAAAAAAATCAATACAAACTACAAAAATTCAACAAAATTTTATGTATTTAAAAAAAAACTTAATTTTTGCTTTTTTAAAAAGTTTATTTAATATTTTCCCCTAACATACTACTAATATTTGTACCGTTATTGTAAGTTATTTTGTTAGATTAGTACCAGATTTAGCTTCAGTACTGATTAAACTACTGTATATGCACAAATCTAATATTGTTAAGCTTCCTATCTATAGAAAATATTAATTTAAATAAGAGATTCGTGAGAGGTGAACTCATATATGCTAAGCACTGTATACATGATCTTTAATATAAAGAAGTTTGTCTGAATTCTTTATATATATATATGTATATATATATATATATATATATATATATATATATATATATATATATATATATATATATATATATATATAAAATTTCTTTCAATTTCCGATTACTTTGTCATTTTTTTTGTTTGCAGAGCTAATAGGAGAGGTGGAGGCATCGCTGCCCTGTTTAAAGATGTGTATGAGTGTAAACAAGTGTCATTTGGTGACTATCTGTCTTTTGAATATCTGAGTATAGCACTAAAAGGTGCTCCACGCATCTTACTAATCATTATCTACAGACCTCCAAAATATTCTCCAGCTTTTATTGAGGATTTTACAGAGCTGTTATCAATAGTAACCTCTGAATTTGATTATTTTAGTATTGCTGGGGATTTTAATATTCACATTGATAATCCAGAAATCAATGCTGTAAAAGAACTGATGACTGTTTTTAACACTTTTGATCTGACTCAGCATGTTCAAGGACCCACACACAATCGTGGACACACTCTTGATCTACTTATAACTAAGGGTTTACACATTTCATCAACTGTTGTTAAGGATGTGGCACTATCTGATCATTTCTGTATCTTTTTTGATATATTGATCACTCCAGCTATTAAAGACAG